AGCACAATCAGCATTATCAACAATATCAACATGACACCCGACAGCAACAACAACAAAAATAACAACAAAGACAACAACAATACTTCCATATCAATTTAGCTGCTTTTGTTGGAAATATATTCAAAAAAAAAAAAGAACAGAAATATAATGAAATATTGAAATTATACAGGATTTACGAGAGTAAATTGAATAATTTACCCAAATTCATGTCGAGCTGCTACAAACATACTAAACTGCTAAAGGTACTCGTACACACATATGTATATTTGCGGATTGTTGGGTTTATGGCATGGAAGATGATTCAACGGATGCACTTATCAAATTGTCATTAAATTTGCATGTTCAAAGTCCCGGCAGACTTGCTCGGCATTTTGCTCGTTGCACTTTGGTTGATTGAAGTGAAAACAAAAATGAAAATTAATATTATGAGATGCAATCTAGATAATTATAAATTAGCACAAATATCGCTTTCAATCCATATGTGCAAATTGGGATCGCTTATAGGTCATACGTACCTGAAACATTGTCGACTGTATAATATTGTCTGTGAACATGTTTCTGCAAGAAAAATAAATAGTGAATTAAAAATTCAACTTAATTCTGTTGTGTACACTGCATACCTCACTAAATCCATTAGCGTGTCTGGAGTTAATACTTTGGAGGCTTTATCTACAGACTCAATGTGTGTCGCCTCAATTTTGGCGCCTTGGCCAGGCTTAATTGTGGTGACCAAGCAAATACCCAAAATCACAGCTGATATTGTTGTGAGTAGATAATAAATAATTGATCTAAAATAAAGATAAGAAATGGATTTTGTGAAAATAACTATTAATGTGTGTTTCAATATGTATCTTAATGCATATTTATGTAAAAAAGTGACATACACCTTAAAAGTGTAATATAACTGCAAAATATATAAAACAGAAATACGCATAAAATTTCCTAGTGATATGATATCTCTGTGTTGATGATGGTAGCAAAATGATGTATATTTTATCTACATATTGTTCAAATTTTAAATAATTCCCTTTGTGTCGGTTGATTGAAATAACAAGGTTAAAAAAAAAAATTACTAAATTATGCTTAAAATTGAGTAAAAATGGCAGTAAAATGCACGGAACACTAAATAAAAGTGTACGGAAACAAAAAGGTTTTACGTTGGTTTGACCTATCCCGAGAAGACCTTTAAGACGATGAAGGAGTATCGTCACAAAACACCATTAGCAACGAACCAAACATAGAGAAAACTGAAATAATTCATTGAATCAGCTATTAGCTGTCGACGAGACTCATCGAAAAGAAAACTGCAAGACAGACAGTACCGTCTATTGAATTTTGAATAAAGATGTGATGACATCGAATCAAGCTTATCAGCTATTGTAACAAACGATAAAAAGTATTTTTTTAGTTACTTAGTTAGTTGAGGCGGAAGGAGAAACAAATCCCTCTCAATTGGCTAAGAAAGCCATTTTAAATCCACAAATCCCTTAGCTTGGTGTTCACTTTATATGATTAAAATGTGAGAACACAGAATGCGTTGTGTGTTTTGTAGTTATAGCGCCTTCTTCTTGAAATTATATATACTTTGAAAAAATGGTTAAATAATAACAATAAAAATATATTTTTTATGTCAGACCTTCGTTATTATTAAATAACTGCCGACCAATTTCACCTCAGACCAAATAACACATATACGGTGATTTTCTGCGGATGCACTGGTTTTTCACAGGATGCTACTTGTGAATTTTCATTGCTCTAAATGCAACATTTTTGTTAGTTTAATTATTCATCAAATCACTTGAAGAAAAATACAATTCGAGAGAATGCTTAGAGACTGCGGATAGTGTTCTCAAACGACCACAAACACAACAATCCGCTGAAAAAGTTTTGGCTTCCGTATTTTGAGATTCAAGTGAATACTATTATTACATATTATTGGATCGATTGTATGAGGAAATAAAGAAAAAACGACCACATTTGTCGAAGAAAAAAAATTTGTTTTTACAGGACAATGTGCTCTCTCACACCTTAATGAAAATCATGGCAAAATTAAATAAATTACCGCACGAATTGCTTTCTCACCCACCGTATTTTACAGATTCGGCCCGCAGGGGAAAGGGATTTGTATCAAATAATGACGTGGAATGGGAAACTGAGAGATATATTTTGGAGGACTTCACAATTCATATTATTTAAAACGTATCTAAATGTTGGAAGATTACTGAACTCAGTCTATCGACATAAAGGAGAACTATATAGAAGCATAAAACATAATTTTCCAAAAAAATACATTTTTATTGCTTAAGCCGGGTATTTATCAATTCACCTAGCATGCATACCAATAAATAAAATATTGTTTAGTTTGACATAAAACTGGTGGTTGTTCAAAAAAATTTGACAACCAATAGTTTTAGGGAAAGAACTTTAGAAAATTTTAAAGCAATAATTAAAAAGAGTTTTATTCTTTTATTCTGCAGTGCCTGTTTTAAATAAAAATATTGCTTGTGTAAGAAAAAATTGCACAATGACTTTATTTTTGAAAAATATATCACGATTTATTCGTGTGATGAACTTAAACCCGGTCCTACAAACAATGATCCCGCCCTATAATACAGTAGTATCAACGTGGTTGTTTTTATTGTTAGTGTCTTGTTAATATCTTGTTTTGTTAATATTAGTTCTTTCGAATTTTAATTCACAATTCCAAAAGAATAGTGTTTCTTATAATATAAACTACTTACCTCGAAGCAATTTTACTTGACATGCTCAGATCAAGACCACCTATCGCACTTGTGATGGACGAAACCAATAAAGGTACAATTAAACATTTTAGCATACTGCAAAAGAGAAAATATATAATTAATCACGTACATGGTTTCTTTAGAAATATGAGATATTGATAAATGTATTACTATCATATAAGTTATACCATATAACTAATTATGATTAAACATGTATATTCATTATATATCTTATATTACATTTTATTCATTAAATATGAAGTAACAAAACAAATGTAGAATACAGAAAAAAATCTGTATTTAATAAGTTTTTAAAAATATACTCACCGCAAGAAAAGTTCTCCTGGAAACGATATATACATAATTTCTCGTTTTGTCCAGGGTCCTGTGCTATTTTTAATGATAAAGCCAATTAAACCTCCAATGAACACACCGGTGACTGTGAACAATGTAAGCGAGTTCTCTTGCATGAACAAGCGAAACTTGGATTCGTTTCTAGGTCTTGACATTTTGTAGAATGTATATGTATATACTGACCCGTCTTGGGAAAAATCTGTGCTTATACTTTAAGGACTTATAGTTAATGGAAACTGTAAAGAAAAGAAAAAACATATAAGATATAAGTTTCATATAAGAAATAACAAAAAAAATCAAAATTGGTAAATTATATTCAAAAAAAAATCTATATAGACTGATGTTTTATTATGATAAATTATGTGAGTTAGATTTTAAAACATCAATATATTTAGACACTTATGTCGTATAAACAATTGTGATATTGTTTGAATATGACAGTAGGTCAGGTTAGATTATACCGGTGATCCCAAGGGATTCACTTAGGCCGATACGCCCATGGTGTTACCGTATAATTCAAAATCATCATCATACATTATACCATTATAACATTATACATTACAAATTAGTACTTCACTACTGAAGGAAATATAGAAAGCAGCAGTTAGTATCTGTGATATAATTAATTGCGAATATAAAGCTTGAAAACTTTAATGAAACAACAAATTACCAGTTGTGATGAATCGGATCACATATTTGATAACTACTTTGGCATCAAAGCTTCAACAATTAAAAATGCAAGCAAATAACACTGACGGGGAATAGATGGGTAGTGGCACAAGAGCCAGATCTAGTGTATCTACTGATTTGTAAATTCCATTAACTTCGAAACTCTACTTTATTATAATAGACTGAAATTTTCGACATCTTAAAAGCCTATTTTCTTGTTGGACTTCTTGAAAAATTAATTCTTAATTTTAAATGACAGTGAGGTACTTATTCAAGCTTTTTCGGTAATATTGCATCTCTTACAAGAGAGTTTATAATGTCAACGATTTAAAAACATGTTAAGTAGTACTTTCAAACTTTTAATAAAACTTCGGGTATCGAAGAAGGACCTTCAATGAAACCTCCCGTTTCAATTCTGCTTCTCCTAACCAGTGTCAGAGGTTAACATACGTCCATTTTTTGTGTCAGGTCAACAGAAATTAAAATAATATTTCTTCATTAGCGAAATTAACAGCGATATGTTTTATATACATCACTTCATGAAACTCTGCTTTCATACATAAAAGTAAATCAAAAATATCTGTGGATATATTGGTTTTAATGGATCATTGAAGTACACAGCTCACCATGGAGTTAGGCTTGCATTGCAAAATTTGTTTAAGCTCTTGTTTACCGGTGCTGGAGAAAAAGACATCGTAAAAGCTGTTGTGTCTCTACTCAGGCTGGTTCATATCCAAACGTAAGCTAGGAACCCCACTTTGTAATTGATTCAGTGATATTCCCATTATCAACTGGCTTTATTATGGTGGAATTTTCGCACGCAAATATGAAGAATAAGGAATCAAAAGTGTTTTCTAAGTTAAGCAAGGAGGATTCAATTTTTTTCTTTTTTTCTTCTTCACTAGCACCGACATCAGTTTTCTTTAGAACTTTCGAATAAATAATTAACAGTAGATGCTATAAATTAGTCAAGAATTAATCAGAGTAAAAATGATGATTTTCAATTAAATCAAAAGACTCTACCGGAGGCAAAAATTATATCATTTTTGAGATTGAGAACAAGAAAAATCAGTTATATAAAACAGAAACTACCAGAAACTATACTAACTAATATACCAACTAAAAAGGTGTAAGGGAATCTCATTTGATATTGTAGATAAATTATTTGTAAAAACAGGATTGATTTGATTAATACAAAATACAGAAGAAAAAGTAGAATAAATAATAGAAGATAGCTGTTATTGAGGGTAATTGTTATAGCGAAACTATTACTTTTATATGTATTCTATATAGTAAGTATTCTAAACTTGTAATTGCACTGAGACCTTTAAGTTGCTAAAGATATTTAAACAAATTAGTTAAAAGAAGGTAGACAATGATGAATTGGAAGTGTTTGGGTAACTACTAAATTGAAAGACTTATATGTCTTTCTTCTTACAATAGGAAGATTGAACATCATACGCAGGATATGCACGGAGAACTTTGATTAAAATATACTTTGGAGTATGTCCTTCGCTATTTGCAATATGTTTAAATTGCTTGAGTTTGTTGGGAAATCAAACGAAAATTTTGGTAGAGAATATACACAACTTCTTGGACTTACTTTAAATGTTGATGTATCAAGTACCGGTCTATTACTTTCATATGTATTCTATATATTAATTCTCAAGCAACATAATCAATACGTAAATAACTTAGCTGTAAGGTTATTAAACCTAATAAAAAATATTTTTTTAAAAATCGATTATAACACTTAAAAGAATATCATATAAAAAGTTGCTCTCAAATGCTTCAAATGACAACTCAATGAACATCAACAAATATTTTCCAGATTTGGCTGCGCTCTTTGCATGTCAAGTTTAATTGTTTAACCAGACATATATAATTATTTCAAATATCACAAAATATTCATCATATCTGATTCCTCACTATCATCATTGATCTTCTTTATGTGTTTATTTAAATCGAGATCAATTATATGACAAACTCGTGGCTTGGATCACTTAAACTCAATTAAGCACAAAATCTCTTAATTTTGTTCCATTTGAGACTTTGCGACTTAAAGTAATTAATTTTTAAGTATTTTTGTTTCTTAAATTTGTAATAAACAATTAATTGAAAAGTTAAAAATATATACAATATTTTTTATGTTTTCTAGTATTCCAATCGAAATTATTAAATAAATAATTAAAGAAATACTTTACTATTATTGTTAGACTTTCAGAGTTTCAAATTGAGTATCATTATCATTAGTATTCCAGATAGTGACGGTCCACTTAAGCACTTAAGCAAAAATAATATGCTGTTGTAGCACCACAGGTTTAACCTTTGTTATTGCGACAACTAGAGGTCAGCGTACGAGCAAAACGGAAGGCATGACTCTCCTATTAGGTAAAAATAAATCAACCTGACAATTCTATAAACTTGGCCAAGTTCCTAATTTTGCAGGATAACAGTTCTGTTAGATTGGTAAGAAAGGAGCCACGAAATTCTTAGATCTCCTCTTCTTAAAGATGGTTCCTTACACATGAGGTAGAGCACAGTTTTTTTTTATTCGTAGAGCCACAATCTCGATAGAAGTCATAATAAGGTAGACCCAGTTTAGAGCTTGGGAATGCTCAAGTATTTTTGTTTTTTTACCAGTTTAACAACTGCAAGTGGAACGTCAATTCCTGAGAAGTGAATGTCACGAAGTAGAGTGCCTGTGATATCAATCTTGTCTGCCCTATAGTTAAGATGTACCTGTGTTTAGGAACTATTCCAGGTCATTGATAACTTAAAGAGCTGATTTATCTTTTGTATTAATGAAGATTTAAAGTTGTTGCGAGATTGCTTAAAAATATATTTTACTCATTTCAACTTAATAAGTCTGTATACGAAGGCATTTTCGCTTTGCTTGGAATATGACAACGTTAAGGCATAAATTTCAACTACACATAGGAATCAAGAAATTCTCAACAAAAGATATTCTGATATGCAATCGAAGTGCAGAAATATGATTATAGTGCTCTGCTCCATAGCACACTAAAATCAGCTCCATGATATTTCCATAAGGAGCATTTACTCCTGTAGTAAACGTTTGGTTTGAGCTAATACAGTTTTATAAGGCAACATAATGTGTGAACAACCACCATGAGTCTTTAAGATACCCAGAAAACTTCTTTCGATTTTAAAGATATATAGGAAAAACATTAATATAGAAATATTTTAAAATAATAACTATAATAATATAATAATGATAATAACATTGTTTAATAATCATAAAAACAATATTATTCATTTAAATGACATTTATGTTATTAAGCTTTTAATAATGATAATCATAAATAATAACTACAAAAGGTATAGCCATAACCTTAAAATTAATAATAAATAATATATTTAACCAAAATTTTGTTTTTGGCATCTTAAACATTGTATGAAAACTTTAATATACGAGCACGTATCAAATGGACCTCCAGCGTTTTTATTGAAGTAACTACCTATCAAACTTAATCCAGTAATATTGATATATATATTAAATTACATTTTGAAGTTAATCTTCTCATTGTTATGTCAAACAAAGGAGATATGTATATACATATAATCTACACACCATATAAGTGCTATATGAGTTACACATGGAAGCATAGTTCTAGCACTTTTGTAAAAATTCAAATTTTTTCATTTTTGGTGAGCCAAATATTGCTCATTATATGTGCAGATATTTCCGATAATATCCCCTTTTTTTTTTCTTCTGCTACAATTAATATTTGCTTTATATTCTTAAAGCAATCACAGTAGAGTAACCGCAATACACATATTAGAAGAAATCCTGTGTACCAATCAAGTTATTTATTAGTACCTATTATTTTTGGAACAGCAGGAGAACTCAATGCTCCGCATCCACTTTATTATTATTAGAATCAAATGTGTATCTAGCCTCATAGAAAACGGGAATATAGTACATTGCAGAGATTCTATGCTATTGGAAACTTTAGTCCCTCGCCAAATGGAAGATCACTGGCATACTCCAATTTGCGCCACTGGCTATCTAAACTAAAGAGATATATTATACGCAAGTATTGCTCTTCTACTAGTAAACTAACAATAAAAATCATAGGAAAAATTAGATTGAGTTATACTTGCGATGTAGTGAACTCCATTAAGTAGTAAAGATCACCGCAATCTTCTAGAGAAATTACCTGTTTAAAGGTTGTGTTAACTGTGCCTGTAGATGATATCATGTCTCACTATTGTGATCAATTATTGTGATTTTAATATAATTTACTGCAGTGTATGTGATAATCCATGTTTTCTTTATAAATATATTTATGATTAACACAATAAGACGAGTTAATTTTGCGATATTTGTCTAATTGTATATATGATTATCTGGCTGCGTGGTGGTTTGTCTATTTGTTAATATACAAACTAGACTATTCTCTTGACTATTTTGCTGTACTATATAGTTTTTGAGAGAATAAAGATTTTTAAGTTACCTTTTGAATTCTGGAATATTCGTTGGAAAAATTGATGAAATATGCTGAACATTATAATTGCTTTCTTACGAAATAACTACTAAAAATG